TTTTATATATATATATATGAGCAATGATCTTATGAGACCTTCCCATACCCATGTGTGTAGGACCCCAAAGGATATCATTAAATTTAGCACAGATATCTAGAAAAGTCAAATCTCACATCCATGTGATAACTTTTCTAACGATTTGTGCTAAATCTTTTGGGATCCTACACACATAGATGTGGAAGGGTCTCATATAATCATTACTTATATTATATTAAAAAAAACCCTAAATGCTACCAAGGACATAAAATTATTGTTCAACAATTCTATCATGACGCCACTGTAAATAGAAATTGTAGTGTTATTTTATCTCATCTATATGTATCGGATTATATTTTTTACTGTTTCTTTCAGCAAAATACTAGACATTCATGATTTTCTAACTCGATTCATTGTCGACCTGTATTTATGCCCCAATTTCTTGCCTCCAATTTTGGGACTAAATTTGGTTTATTAGCATTTTCTCTATTTGCTAATTTATTATTATTTCTCGACTTGCTTACTGTGGTTTGGAACTCTACGTTAAGATTCCACGGCTTCATCGATAGGGGAGTTAGGAGCTTAAGAGACTAAATAGGGTGTCGCACAATCTGAGTCGAGATTTAGGGCTTTTATTCTCTTTGCAAAATCTGAGACGAGTTTTTGGAGATATTCGAAAAATTACACTTTTTAAAATGTTTTTTAAAAAAAACTTATGCAGAGAACTTCAAAAGGACCAACATAGCACTAGTTTATTTTTATTTTTCATATGTTAACAATAGGAATGGAGGGGAACGCGTTATGTTAAGACATAGCCCGCTCACCATTGGTATCACTACCCCCTCCTAAATAACTCAAGCTCAATGTTACTGTGACATTCTACTCTTTAGTTAGTTTTGCATGTTAATACGTGTCAATATCTCAGTATATAGAACATAATTAAAAGATAAAACAGTCATTTCTGAATAGGGCCACGTACATCTCTTGAGCTTTTAAGGTTGAGGATAGGGTACCGGAAAAAAAAAAAAAAAAGGAAAAGAGCATGGGCTTAATTGGTTAGTATTTGGCGATTTGCAACATTGCGTCCTAGGCTCAATTACTATCGAGAGTTGGGCCCTCTCTCCACTGACTCAACCAAAAAAACAAAAGTTGGTACAAAAAAAAATCAAATCAAATCAAATTTTTTTAAAATTATTTTTATATTTTATAAATTCATGATCACCTTGATTTAGATTAAAAATCTCTTACAATTTTGGTCCAAAATCGATCTTTAAGATGGACTTTAGAGGGGAAACACACATCTGCTATGAGATGGGGTACTCTTAGAAACCCCATCCTTAAAATATATGAACAGACACCTTTTTCTCAGCAACACCATTTTGTTCAAAACCACCTCTACGTAAGTGTTACAACAAAATTTATATTCACATATATCAACACCTCAGTATATAAAAAACAATTAAAAACTTTGTAGCGACTCTGTGTAGAGCCCGAAGCCATCTTAACCTACCATTCCATACTCTACCATCGCCCCATCCACTTGTTATATCTCATAGAAAGGGAAATTCTATTATATACTCTAAAAATCATAGTATTCATTTACAAGTAATAATAAAAAATTATACAATACGAACATTTATCTTTAGTACAAGGAGGTCACAATTGGCTATGGCCATTGGAAGTGGAATTGGGTGATTAGGTGCATACCATTGGGTGACTAGGTGCATGCCATTTAACGAGTTCAAAGTCTCAAGGAAATGTTTTTAAAAAATTACTACACACCAAAGCTATCAAATTCCACATATGATAGCTATCTATAACCTATTCATTTTATAAATTATATACAATCCCATAATTATATAAACATGTTGAGCCATATAGGCTTTCTACCCAAGTATTGATATCAGCAACACTTACTCGCACCTTCAATAGTCTGTGTGACATGAACTTAACATATAACTGTCTCTAACAGAAGAACCACCATAATCTTCCTCGCTAATTCGCCAAGAAGCCATCAACCTTGGCATTCACCGCCCTTGACAAGAACTTCATGCAGATAGGAGGTTTCACCTTGGCGATGGCAAGGATCGATGCCGGCAGGGACCATATCCCATCGCCGCAAATCATTCCAGAGGCCACAGCCGGTGCAAATGCGTCGGCCTTCTTCTTGTCAAGTCTTCGCCACACGAAAAGAATCAAGCTCCCGACACACATATCGATCGCGAAGTAACCCCCGATATAGAATGGGATTGCCATCGCCATCGGTAGCGGTATGAATTGCGAAATCCTCTTTGGAGTCAGATCGCGCACCAAATTAATAGCCATTGCAGCCAGGAAGAACACCAAGCAAAGGGTCAAGCAGTGGTCAGGGAGCGATGAGAAGCCCTCAACACCAATGAGGGAGATGTTGCGATAAACAAGCGCAAAGGGGGCGGGGTACTCTGACTTCTCGCGGCCGAGATCAAATGCCTTGTGAAAGAGCCAAAAAACACAAGGGGCGATTACACATCCCATTGCAGTCCCCACAACCTGACTTGCAAACATAGAGCGTGGGGATGCCAGTGTCAGATACCCTGTTTTGAAATCCTGCATCAAGTCTGATGCTGTTGAGACGATGCCCATCATGACACCGCATGCTGCAAGACCGGCAACGACGCCACCGTGAGCTGCCCCCGCCCATGCTCCAAAGATGAATATGGCCAATTTTCCATATGTGGAGGCCAAGCTCCAATCAGTGAGGCCGGCACCATATGCATTACAGAAAGCGAATACAGGGGCAAAGGTATATGTTATCAAAACAAAGTACCATTTTAGTTGGGGGAAGATTTGGGGAAGGACTCCAATGGAGATGGCAGCGAGGGTGACGTAGCCGGCAGCTGCAATGTAGGGGGGGATGCTATCGCTCATGAATACCTCATTACGGCGCTTCTCATCATAGGAAGTGCCAGCAGAGGGGTTGGCATCTGTGACTGGGAGTATGGCTCGGGCTCGTCTCTGTTGGTTCAAGGCCAGGGCGCTTTTGATGAACACCTTCCCGAAGTTGTAGAGGCCGTCGCCAAGGATCAGGGCAATCGAGATGAAGACCTGCAGAAAAGGGAACAAAAGGAGCATGTATTTTGACATTCTTTTTCTTCTTCAAATTTATACTTCGTCTGAGAAATCTCTGGTCATGTATTTTTTTTTTTTTGATAATTCAATGGGGAAGACAAGCTCTATCCTTTTTTTCAAATAGTTTAGGAATTAGTTTTGTGCCGGTATTGGTGGGGTGATGTCAATGTGAAGGAAAACCACAACGTGGAGGTTGCTCGACATAGACACTACCCATTTGCAGGCCTAAGGATAGCTCAAGTAAAATCTTCAACCCACTTATCAGAAGATTACTCAATTGTTTTCTTATAAAATATAGCAACAATTAATATAAAAGAGAATGAAAAAGCTAAGAAGTGGTACCCGATATCCAGGAAGCCCTTTTAGATTGTCATCTTGACCTGCAGGATACCACTTCCCCACCTGGGTTTCAATGAGAGGCCACATGATCCCCCATGAGAGAATAGCCCCCAAGAGCAAAGATACATTCACTATATAAGGGCATATCATCCCCACTCCAACATAAGTGGCCGAGAAATCAAAATAAAACCTGTAAATTTTATACTACACGTTAGGCTTTTGTTTTTATAGTATGGTTGAATGCAATGTGCCCACTTGGACTCGGTGAGTAACTCCAAGAGTCCTGTGTACAATTTGGAGACATTATAAAAAAAAATCAAATGATTTTCAAAAAAAATGTAAAAAATGTGGTATGGATTTATAATTTTTTGTTTGTCTCTCATTTTGATTTTTTGTCAAAGACCATTAAGTTCTTTTTGCCAGTCCCTTGCCCTATTTGTCATTTTTCTAGTTTTTATAAGTTTGCAACTGTAAAATGTAGAATTAAGGTGCTTTTGAAAATTCTATCGTAAAAGGCCTAGTTGAAGTTGGAAAACTCTCTAACTAATCATCTCGACATCGAGATACATGTATAAGAAAAACAAAGATTTCAAGTCTTAAAAATAATACACCTTGAAACACATTATCTAGACTGTCCATTTTTAAGATCTTAATGAGTTTATAAATCGTTTTTATTTGAACTACTTTTTAAAAAATTATAATTAAATATGAAAATAGATTCTTATGTCATCCTAAGAATTTGACACCAAAGTTACATATTATGATAAAATTTGGTGCTGCACCTCATTTTGATTGCTTAAGATTGCAACCTTATGCAAACTACTCCCTTACTTTTTGATGGATCAAACTATGTCACAAAACCCAACATTGATTTATTCATTTTCCTGGAAAGAGTTGGAAGAATTTTTACCTGTAATCCCTGGCTTTTAGGCCCAATGTGGGAAAATTTTGGAATCCACAGTCACCGGTTGCTGTGAAGAACCACTGGAAGAATCCCCACAGGAAGCTGAAGGAGAAGAATTTTCCCAAAGCTCTCACCTGTTTCCTGTAAAATTGGTAAACCAATTCAAAAAAGACATTAAGAAAAGTAGGAGAGAGATGGTAGAGAATACAGGGGTGGCAATAGGAGAGAGACATAAGGAGACAGTAGAAAATATAGGAGAGAGGGGGCTCAATTTTTCAAGGAAAAAACAGTCTCCTTCTCTAAAATTAAATCCCAAATAAACTCATGATTCATAGAAAGTCCACGGTCTCCCTCCAAGTTTAAAGAAAAATACCTCCTTCGCATTTTTTTATCTAAATTATAATATTTATCTTTTCTTTCTCTTTTTTATTATTATTATTATTATTTTACAGTGTTAACCGTGGGAATGGAATTTAGAACGTTACGTTGAGGCACCTGCCCTCCTAATCACCAATGCCCCGATCCCGTTCCTTATAAACTCTTTTTTTTTCTTTTTTGTTTTTTTGTCTAGTGACCCCTACATCAAAATCATAGAAAATCTACCCCCTTTTTCATATATGATGGATTGATTTTTTAAAAAAAAACTAAAAAATAGAAGAATTGTTGGGGCTACCGACTTGACTAGCTTTGCTCCTTGAGGTGTATGGAAACTGTTGATTAGGAGAGCAGTAGCCGTTCCACTTGGATAAGGAAGCTTGTAGTCGATGACCATTATCTGAAAACACAACCCACAAAAAAGTCAAGCAGAACCCCATAAGGATATGTTTGGATGCACCATTAAAATGTGTTTAATTCTGTAATTGCCATAAAGTAACCTTGGAAATGTATGTAACGGGCTGTGTACACTTTCTAACCCTGATTATTCGAAAAAGGAAAATTGTTTCATGCGGACTACATGTGGTCCAAAAAGTGTAAAGCATCCATCTTAAAGATGAATGCCAGTAGGTGTTTCATCTTAAAACAATGAAACTAACAGTCCAAATATTTTCTTACTAGAATTATTAGTTTTAGTTTTTAAAATTTACTTATTTTTTCTTATTCATGATCTCCACGTTAGAAATTACATGTCTTTAAAAATTAAGTCCAAAAATTCATCTCAAAAATAGATTTATTAATAAGCACACATTTCTACATATGCGGGCTTGGTTGGATAGAAAGTCTTTTGAAAAATACTTTTTTTGGCACAATATTTAGAAATATTATTAAAAATACAAAATCAAATTACAATTACACAATCATATTTTGCTCGAAGGAAATACAAAGCTCTAAAGAAAGTGGCCGGTGTGGTGGTAGCACCCCCACACCATAATCACCATGGTGTGGTTTCCATTCCCATTGATACCACCCTACTAACACCTTCAAAAATGAATTTCTAAACTATTTGAAAAACTAGGTAAGGGCATGTCTTCCCTATTGAATTACCAAAAAAAAAAAAATACAAAGCTCTATAAAGAACCCCTCTTCTTGCTGAGCATCCTCTCTTCTTGCTTAGCCATCCTCCACTCCATTTGCCTCTTGATGTATATGGGTGAAAGAGACCTCCAAAGCAACAAGATATCCAAGGTACCAGAAAGGGGTTGGGTCATAGTAGTAGCACCCTCATACCTAGTTACCAGGTTGTCGTTTCTAATCTTGCTAATAATTACATATTTAGTTACCACGTTGTAGCTTCTAATCTTATTGACACCAGCCACTTCTAATCTTATTGACACCAGCCACTGATACCTTAAAAAAAAAAAAAATTATATCCCTAATGTATATGGTTATACTTATTCCATTAATCAAGCTCAAAAATCAAAAGAATTTTTCTCGTACTTTGTGATACACCCAAACTATCATTCACAACAAATGGTTACGAGTACTTGTGACTTTGTGTGAAAGGTAAATGGCCTCATTGTATACAATTCTTTTTATTAAAAAGGAGGAATCTGCTATTCACCCCCCAAAGCCGCCATCCCTCTCTCTCTCAAAGTAATAAAAACAAAAAAAACAGAGGAAAGAAATTGTCCGAACCAGCACGACTATGGTCTGAAAGGCTCAGAGTCCATCAAAGTACATCCAACAACAAGCATGGGAATTTTTATTTTTAATTTTATTTATAAATCACTTAGAGCGTATAGTGAGGACAAGTTTCCTTAAAATATCAAATATTTAATGGTTGTGGTTATTATAAGGTTGCAATCTTAAACAATCCAAATAAGACACCTCTAAATTTTATTATAACATGTATTTTTGGTGTAAAAAATTATTACGATTATTTGAAAATCTATTTTTATATCTAATCATAGAACTTTAAAGTTCAAAAAAAATTAAAATTAAGTAGACCTATAAATATATGAATATCTTGAAAACAGATAACGTGCCACTATTTCTAAGACTCAAAATCGCTCTAGAAAAATAGTCTTCTCTAGCATGTACCTTTCTGAGGGGGACGATAGAGAAGAGGCCAATGAAGCTGACGACAAAAAGGAAGCCCATCATCCAACCCAAACTCGGGTTCTTAACGGTTTGTGGGTCGATGGCTCCGTGCGTGTCTCGGCGGGCAATTGTCTCACTCATTGCAAACAAGTAGCTCCCAAAACCACCTGTAAATTTTTTCATGTAACACAATGTGGGAGAGAAAAAGGAAGAGGGTGTAGTTTTTCATATAATGGAGAAATTGTGAATATTACTATATCAAAAGGAATTGAACCCAAGATAAAACTTCAACTGCTAACCAAATAAGCCCGGTGAAAGTAACACTATAAGACTATTGACCTTTGGTATGAAAAAGTTGGGGAAATTATCTAAAATGTACTTCTTCTTTTTTAGATTATTAGAAATAAATATCAAAATTTTCAAAACCTTATTCATTCATCTTTTCAGATTTTTTTAATAAAAATACTCTTAACGGTAGTCTTAGATCTGCGAAAGCATCAAGGTCAACTCATAACCATGATGGAAATTCAAACATCGTGATGATTATTGGGTTACTGGAGATTATAGAACATCACGGCCATTTCAACACCATGATGCCTCCTTTAACCATCAGGATGTTTTAAACACCATGATGGTTATGAGTTTATTGGAACCTTAAAATCATCACGGTCAATATATGTCGTGATGCTTTACTTGTACTTCAAGGCCTTTGAAACAAGGTGATGCATCCGTTGACCATCATGGTATTTTAAACATTATGATGGTTATTTGGGTATTAGAACTTCAGAACTTTAAGAGCATCAAAGTCCGCCTTCATGGATCTAAAACTATCATGAAGGGTATCTTTATAAAAAACAAACACCAATAGCGGTAAAAAAGAGTATGGATGAGGCTATAAAAAATTGAGTATTTATTTATAATAATCTAAAGAAAAAAAATTTATAATTTCCCAAAGAGTACCATTAGCCTGAAAAAAAAATTTGTTCATTGCACATAGGAATAGCACACTGCATCCCACTCAAATTCATATCTAATAAGTAGGGGATGATTGTGTCCTTTATTACTCAAATTAATATCTAATAAGTAGGGGATGATTGTGTCCTTTATTTACAAAAACTAAATAATTTATAGAACAAAACACCTAAGAACTCACCACTAAATGCAATCCCAGAGCAAGCCACCACACAGGTCTGAATAACAGTGTTCTCCTGCCTAGTGAAAGGTTGCTTTAAGGCCCCCACCTTTTCCAAGAACTTTGTCCAACTCTTCACAAAGAAGAAACCCAACAAGCCAGCAGAAACATTCAAGCTTGGAATAATACCGGTTGTCAAATTGAACCTCATGACAATCACACTGAACATAATCCCCAATACAAAGCTCACAAAAAAAGCCCTAAATGTGAGCTGCTCCTGCCATGGAGGAACACTCTTTGATTCAAATATTTGCTCAACTGAAAGTGACTCTCTCTCCTCCTCTCCCCTGTTATCTTCCAAACCAGAAACCACTGTTCCACTCTCTCCATTTGCACTCGCCATCTCTCTTCCGGACATTTTTCAATCCAGAACCAGCTTTGGGTCTATATAACAGATCGCTTTTGAGAATGGAGAAACCGCTCTTGGAAATATTAAAGGAAAGTATATGTTACGATTAAATATATACTTAGACTAACCATAAAAATAGAGATTACTCCACCTAACTTTTCCATATATATTGATTACAATATAAACATCCTATATTAACAAGTTTGGACAGTGTATACTTTCCTTTTACAGGAAATTGGGCTTTGAATGAGCTAAAACCACTTTTGGGTTCTGAACAGAGAGCTCTAAGAGGAAGAAAACCAGGTTTGTCTACAGAGATGTGGTTTTGGACTGTGACAAAACCACTTTTAAAGCCCTGAACTCTCAGCAAAAGTGTGGAATAGAGATGGAAGAGAGGGTGTAGTTAAGGGAGCGGAAAGAGCCCGAGATTTTTTGAATTTTTGTAGAGAATATGCATATGGAATAAGTTTTGCACTTGAGGGATTCACAGTAGTGCATCAGTTTCTATACAATTAACAAGAGTTTAGACTTAGATTCAAGGATCAAAAGAATCAGGAAGAGAGAGAAACCATGTGCTTTGAGCTCAAGAAAGGTAACCTTTTGCAATGTGAGAGAGTGAGAGGTTACATAGGAACCAAATGGGTTCTACCTGTGGATTTATCAGAACATGCATACAATAGTATCCCTTTCATTTGAAATAATAAAATAAAAGAATTAGCTATTAATGTCAAAATGTCATTAATCAATACATTTAAGGAACTACATTCATTGAACCCTTTTCTTCTGTTCTCCTTGTCCTTGGAATCTCCGCTTTTTTTTCTTTTTTTTTCTATTTTTTTGAAAAATTTAATTATTACATTAAAAACTAAAAGAATCTGTTTCTATGCTGCCAAACCTGTATATATTGAAATGCGGGCCTTTTAATAATTCTATTTTTTAGATAGATTGTAGGACTTAATTTTTAAGGACATGTAATCTCTATCATGGAGATCATGAATATGATAAATAAATAAATTTTAAAACCTAGAAATAACAATTCTAGTAAGAAAACATTCGTACCACATATATAGAAATGTGGTCCAGCCCGCATGAAATAATTTTCCAAAATTAAATGCACATTCTTCATCTATACGCAATTCCTTTTCTGGAAGTTTTTTATTTTAATTTTGCCCCTTATTCAATGTTAGCAACTTTCTTTTCTTTTTTTTTTGACCTCCAGGGTCTTACGATACACCAGAATTGAACTGCCCCACTTTGTGAGAGGGTTCATACAATCCTTTTTGGAAGTTTTTTATTCTAATTTTTCCCTTAATTCAATGTTAGCAATTTTTTTTATTTTTTTTTATTTTTTTTTTTTAAACTCTAAGGTCGTACGATACACGAGAATTGAACTGCCCCTCTTTATGGGAGGGTTCAATGTTGCTGGTATTGAACTACTTCCTATGTTTAAAAAAAAAAATAATTAAGCATGGGATGGTTCAATATTAACATGGAATTGCCCCATATGAGAGCAGTTCAATGTCGCTAATGTCGAATTGTCTGGGATAGGGCGGTTCGATTCTTGAGTTATCTAATGCCCTAGAAGAAAAAAATTATTGAAAAAACATATAAAAAAAAATAGTCGATGTTGCCTACATCAAATTGCGGAGGAGATTAGAATAAGAAAAATCATCAAAAAGTAGGAGTCAGATGTAAAATTGTGGAAAACATAGGCCATGCGGAATATTACATTTATTTTCTGGTTTACGTATAAATATTTTTTTTTTAATGAGAAAAATTTATCAAGGTGGACCATTTATCATTTTACCCGTTTCTTTTTATTGGATTTGAAACGTCATCAACAGACATTAATCATGAGTTATAATTATTGATATTTTAGGGGCAGTACGATAAATAGATAAAATATTAAATTGTTGTCGATTTATAAGTATTACAAGGCAACCCATTATGAAATTCTTAATGGCGAGAATGACAACGGCAATCATGCTGTCACTTTGTAATCCTCGTATGGAGCAAAGACTACGAACGGGATGTCAATTTTAAAACACATATGAGAGACAGAAAAAGAGCGTTGTCATTATCAAAGTAACGTTAGGGAGAGAAAGTTATCAAAGTGACGTTAAGGAGAGAAAGAGAGGGACGTTATCCAACTAAATTTGAAACATGACACCAAATTATAAAGGAAAAGGTTTAAAAAATGGAGAAAGAGAATTAAGAGAGAGGGAAGTTGGGCACCTTTCATATCTACACTACATTATTAACCTAGAGTTAAGGGCGGATATATATGAAAAGAATAAAAATGGGCCTATATATAGAGACTACATTATTAACCTAGAGTTAAGGGCGGATATATATGAAAAGAATAAAAATGGGCCCATACATAGAGATAAGGTAGGGTGTATGTCCTAGAACTAAAGGGAATATAAAATAGTGTATTTTTTAGTTAGATATAAATCAAACATGTAACATGTATGCTATCGAAAATTAATTAATTAGATAAATTCTTTTTTCTGTTTTTTCTAAACTAACTAAGTGAGTTCAAATAAAGAAGAAATGGGGAGAGAAAGATAGGGAGAGAGAAAGGAAGTGAGAGCATGAGAGGGAGGGAAAAGGGCGTGAGGGTTGGGGAGTCTAAGGAGGAAGTATCTTGCATTAATTTTAGGGGATAGAGAATGAATTTTGAGGGTGGAATAACATATATATATTTTAGGATAGAGATGGCTAGATTCATGGTAAGAGATTTTAAAGAACGAGTGATATATAAAAATTTTAGAAAAAAAATTAGAGTTACCATAATAAAAAGTACCACCTTTAATTTTCTCCTACAAAAGATGAAGACTCTCTCTCTCTTTTCAAAAACATGAGATTGGAGTTACTATAATAAGAAGTCTCCAACAGAAGATGCATACTCCTTTTCAATTCAAAAAGATACATACTCTCTCGCTCTTCAAAAAGATGCGTACTCTCTCCTCTTCTGTTCTCTTAAAGATACCAATGTCTCCTACAACCTCTATAGAATTAGGGACCCTCTTTATTTTTGTGACACGCGTTCACTTATTAACTTTCGTGTAGTATAGATATATTAACTCTGGTGTAGTATAGATATAGATATAGATATAAATAGATAAAACAAGCGCACATATTTATAAAAAAAGAATAAAAATAAAAACTATTGTAAAAAATTAGTGTTTCGAAAAAAGATTATATGATACGGAGGAAGTTGAATGTACATGTACTCCCATGACAAAAATCCCTAGTTTTTTTCTTCTTTTGGATCCCAAATTTGCAAATACTCTATATTCATCCAAATGATTCAATATTAGGAAAACCAGGAAAAATAAAAAAAAAGGTATTAAAATGGCATACTATAAATGGCCCAAATGATGTTTGCTCCAACAACGAACGCAGATCTACTACCATATGATAGATGGAAAGATCTACCATTTAATCTAAAAAACAGTACAGGTCTTGTAAATTAATGAAACTCAAAAAATAGTACATTAATCTAAAAACGAAATTTAAGGGCTTCCTTTTTTTTCGTTTTGTACCATGCAATATTTATTTACATGACATATTTTTACACCTCAACTCTTCATCTGTTTACACTCCTTTGACAAGGATCTTGACCGACCCCTTATGGTAGCTCTCTCTATTGATCTACATCTTCCTAGATATACATCTCAAGGATTCTTAATCATACTTTCACCTAGGAACACAACCTAGGTAAATATGAAGATAGGGAAGAAATATTGCATTATTAGCTATTTAATTTGGGAGCACGATTTCACATGATAATACCAAACACAAGGTGGAGGAGATGAAAAATAATGAGTCATGTAAGCTAATAGGAGTTAAAGATATGAGAATCAAGATGTTTGTAACCTCCACAACCTTTGATGGACATGTTAAAAAATTTCAAAAACATCCACAACCTTTGATGGACATGTCAAAAAATTTCAAAAGAAGCAGTATAGACTTATCATTATGACTTGATACGTGTTTTCTGTCGTATGAATACGTATGGACTCAAGTACTTCTCGATAAAAATATCATCCTTGTCTAAAAGGAAAAAGGTTTCTATACTTCCTTTAGTGTATAGGAGATATATGCTTCCCACCTTATTCAATCGTTTAATTTAGCTCAAGTGAGCCATTGATTGTTTGATCTAGATACGATGCCTAACAGTATTTTATTTTTAATTTTTTCTAGAAATTATATGAATATGAAATTTAGTACGTGCTATCATCTCAATAGGGCAAATCTAAAAAATAAAATTACGAAATATATATTTTTGGTAAAATGATTAAAATACCCCTAAAATGCTGAGGGGCATTTTAGTTATATTTCATTTTATTGAGATTTTTTTTAGATTTTTTACGGGTAAAGGCATGGCATTGTGATTGGGTCATCTCAGCCATTCATTGAGAATGGACGTTTGGATAGGGGGAAATATATAAGTTTTATACAATAAGACAAGTATAAAAAGATTGCTCCGCTTAAAATATCCCCATTTGAGTTTTTTTTAGGTCATAATTGTTTGGAAAACAAAATAATTTGTAATTTACTTTATCTACCAGTGGAAACACGACTTTTTTAAATTAATCCATTCAAATGTATCGGAATCAATCTTTGTCTCTCTCTCAATGCCATTATCATTTTCTTAAGGACCTGGTTTCTACGTAGAAATGTGAGCGTCTTAATAAATCTATTTTTTAGATGATTTTAGAACTTAATTTTTAAAGATATAGTAAAAAAAAAAATTGCACTGATAGTTTCTATTGTTTTTAGATAGAACACCTACTGGCCTCTATCTTTAAGATGGATGCTTTACACTTTCAGGACCCCATAGGTAGAAATGCAGTTAAGCCCGCATGAAACAATTTTCTTTTTTTTAATCCCATACCTTTTTTTAGAGGGATTGGCCAGGCAGTTCAAATTTATGATCAGCCTCCCAATTCCACTTTCACAAGGGATTGCATACAATAAAAAACCACAAATACGGAACAATTTTTTTCCCGATCCCACTTTCACAAGGGATTGCATACAAGATTGCATACAATAAAAAGGTACAATTAAGAAGAATCAAAATTTTTGCCAATGAGTCCCAAAAAAAAAAAAACTTACACCCTCCCAATTAGCAAGATTTACCAAGAAATACTATAATTAAAGCCCATTAATTCAATTAAAATGAAGCATAATTGAAAAAATTAATAATATTGATAGAAGAAGTGGAAAAATCCACCTAATTTGAAGGAAGAGGTCAATTGTAGCTTAAAACTGAGACTTTAGCTTGGGGACCCCCTTGAACGTAAACGAAGTCATAATGAGCCCATGGTTTTAGGGCTTGGAACCATGGTGGGAGCTCATAAGTGCCACCAAGTTTAGAGAGAGAAAGACCCCAAATAGGACCTTGCAGGTTCTCTATCTTTAGCTTCAATGCTTTAACTGGCTTTCCTGATTTGTTAACCATTGATACTTTGTGACGATAGTAAGTTTTCCCCATGCTCTCCCATGTCTTTGTTATTGAGTGAATGAATTCCACAGGGCAGTCTCGTTTTGCATCTAGAGAGAGAGAGAGAGATATTAGTGTACAGTGATATGAAACAAAACCAATAAACGCAGTTTGAAAAAGTTTTGAGTTGTTACAATAAGTATTGTGAGAAGATTTCCTGCTCCCACTAGAGCATACTGTTCATTTTCTCCCTCAGATAATACGCAAATTCAGAGTGTTTTTAGGACCCCGATTTTTTGAAATGCAACTACTTGAATCAAGTGACGATCTCAAAAATAATAATACTACTCATAAAATGAAAAAATCAACTGGACTCTATGAGTGTCAAAAAAAAGTTTTAACATCAAAACATCGAATAGGGACTATTCAATTTTTGGGGTTCGATCTTAGTGTTTAAAACCTCAAAATTTATTTTTTAAAAATAACTGTCTAGTGATTCTTGAATGAATCCCAAAATTTTAAGGGGAATTTTGTCAAAATACACCTCAAATTTTGACTATTTAACATTTTACCTTTGATGGGCATTTCGAAAGTAATACAAAACATGTGGATCAAACATTAAATTGCTATCTCATAGGTGTATTTTTTTTTGCAAATTTCCCTATTTTAAATTGAAACATCTTTAAGTACGTCTTGGCCTGAGGGACTAGGAGGACAATATGCTCCTGCAGCATAGTAGACGTCCTACTAACAACTTGAAAAATGCAAACAATACACCATGCTACTTTAATTTTTTTTCCATTCATATGCATGAAAAAGATGGAAAAGGCCAGCATTTATCCAAACCAGAGGATTTGTTTTCAATTTTCTGAAGGGATAACTCAATTTATTTGAAAGGGCAAGTGTAAGAGGGATAGGAGTGTTGTGTAAAAGTACCTTTTAGTTGATAATGTGGCATACTATAAGGGGCAGCAGGTCCTTTTGGAACAACTCCATTTGGTTTGTTATAACCTAAGATAAAGAAAGCCAACCAATGCTAGTACTTAGTGAGCAATGCATAAGTATTTCAAAAAATAAAATAAATAAAAATTTTTTTAAGAAATATATGTTGCACATTTGAGTATCGGGCAAGCTTTCTATGCTTCCCATACAGCATAGAAGTTCTATCCATAAAGCATAAAAGTTCTATCCTCCCCCTTATCCAACTGTCCATTCTGAATAGAGGGTTTAAGATTGCCCCAATCACAATGTCATGTCTCTACACTATTCTATTTTTAATTTTTTTGTAAACTATTTTGACACCAAATTTTGGACATCCATTCCTCTGTTAAACTCGCACTAGCGAAAAATATAAAAAGAAATATTTTCAATAAAATAAAATGGCAAAAATACCCTGAAAGTTTCAAGGGGTATTTTGGTTATTATATTTTATTGAAAAATTATTTTTAATATTTTCTATACGTGCCCCCCAATGAGAAGATGGCACATACCAAATTTCATATTCATACAATTTGTATTAAAAAACTAAAAATAAAATACTTTGAGACGTCAGATCTAAGATCAAACGGTGAGTGGCTATCTTGATCAAAATTGGACGGCTGGTTAGTAGGAAGAAAATAGAACTTCTATGTTGTAGGGAAAACATAGAAACCTTTCCATTGAGTATCTACTATGCAAGTCTGTAAGTATTAAGCTACAGGTAAAGGTTACTATGCAAGTCTCTAAGTATTAAGCTATAGTTAAAGGCTGGGACATGTGGGCTTCAACTAGAATAGACCCTTGCAATGACAGAAACTGCAAGGCAAGTATCTTGGAGATCCTATAAATTGGGACTTCATGGTAAAAAGAATTTAATCCAATTTAATGTCCATCAAATAGCTTTCTTCAAATTTAGCTAGATTGTTTTTTTTCGCATAACCCAAAAGCAAGATTTGAACTTAGGACATTGTGTTGCAATCATCAACGCCTTAACCAAAGTCCAAGATGATTAACTAAAAGTTTAATAGGAAATTTATTTGGAAAAAGAAACTCTCATTTTAAGGACAACTTAAACTCAAACTTAGTTGTAAATATTTTGGATTTCTCTCCTATTTTGAATATTATTGTCTTTACTAGGAACTTGATCTCTAATCCCCAAATTTGGGTGATTTTCGTTTTTCATAAATAACTTCTTCTTCATTTTTTTTTACGATCAATCACAATAATGAAAATACATACAAAATGTGCCTCTTACTACTCTGTTTCGTTTCACCATTTTTCCGTATAATTTATTTATTTATTTTTGGATAGATTAGTAGGAAAGGGTCATTTACTTATGGTAGAAATGAAACTTAAGACGTCCTGTTGTCGCACCCACTACCGTGACCACCTATGTCTTGAGTCAATTCCTATTTTCCAATTTAACCTTCCCACTAATAGTGTTCATTTTTTCATAGCCTTCAATTCACTAAGTTTCTAGACTTAATTCACGTATTAAAGATTGGAATTGGAAGAAAAGGGAGAATTATTTTTAAAAATCAATCATTGTTTTTACCTGAACTTCGAAGCATGGAATGCAACTTTGCAAAGAGTCCAATAAGGGGAGCAACATTATAGGTGGTGGGCTCGGTTTGCTCATAATTGCTCCTCTCGTCGATGAAACGGTCGTTTCGATCCGGTCCGCCAACCAGGGCTCCGACCAAAATGTTCGGATCACGCTGTTCCCTATTGAACCATGACTCAAACCCTTCAAGGCATCTGACTGGTGCTGGGCTCACAGCTTTGGACACGATCGATGCTCCACGATGGTGTACTCTTGTTGGATAGTTCGGTCCGAACCCAACTAGGTAGCTCATTGCCCTTGGATTCTTGCCCAGGATGTAGTCAGCCTAAAGGAAAGACCATGTGGATTGTGAGATTAAATGTTTGGGTTGAGAAAACTTAGTCCCATAGATTGTCGCAGTAGAAAGCAGAGTCCAAATAGATTGTTGCAGTAGGAAGCTTGCTATAATTCTAGGCTATTGGATTTGACAGCTGACGAGTGAGTATGATTCTTTTAATCAGTATTCTGAGTCTAAACCACTACTCGAGACGAGTTCTTGGCCCATACCCGATCCGAGTACTCGGGTAACTCGGCCCAAGTAGGGCCAGAGTTGTAGCAGCAAAAAAAAGGTTAAAACATTTATAAAATATATAAAAAATCTAAAAAATGGGAAATGTATATTTTAAAGAAAGATTAAGCAGAGGTTAAAAAGGTAAAAAAAAATGACGGGTATTTTTGAAATAATCCAAAAAATGAAAAATATAAAAATAAGTATTTATAATCAAATCACTTTCCTATCATTGCGAAATTAATAGAAAACATAAAAAAACATATCACAAATAAATTTTGAAATCTTTTTTAATTTTTTTTTAATATACCCAAGTGCGACACCGAACTTGGGGCCTAAGTACTGGACCACCAGTCACACTGTTTTTTATAATACACAATCCTTTATCATATGCACCTGTGATTGTGCAAAGCTTATGAGATTTGAAGGATGAAGCTGGGCCTCTGGACAATTAAGTGGGGCATTGGCTGCCCTCAAGTAATCAGAGTAGACAACAACAAGGAAAGCTGAGGAAGAAACAAATTGCATGTTGTTCCAATCTCCCACGTATAAAAGTCCCCCTGGATTTTGAATAAAGAGAAATATTTTATTCAATAAATGCCCAAATAAATAGATAATAACAAGGAAATGATATATATAAGGCATCAACAATTCTTGCAGAGGTTAAGTTGCATTAATGTATATCGTTCATTTTAGTTGGATAATATAAATTTGATGTTGTTTTAAAAAATGTATCAAATTCACATCATCCAACTAAAATATACAATGTAAGAGACCACTCCCTAGCTTACTCCTACAACAAATATTTTGACCTTGTATAAACCACGCCCAATAAATGAATAAACAAATAAAAAGAGACATTTTTGTTTGCAAAAAAAATAGGCTTTATTAATCAAAAAGAAATGGCTTTAAACTGGGGTAAGAGAATTAGAAGTGACATTAAAGAAGGGATTGTCTACAAAAAAATCATTTATTTTTTGTACATAGAGGTCACAATCATTCTCAATCATTAGAAGTCAAATTAAATAGTTTGGAATGAGTCATGATGCCATGAGAATTGTTTTTGGAATTTTGTGTTTATTCAATGACACTCTTTCAACCAATTTTTAAATTTAAGAGAAATTGGATGGTTTAAGGTGAGTCACAAAGTCCGAGAATTTTTTTTGTTATGTATAGTCAATGGCACTCTTCTAACCACTTATTTTGAAGTTTGAGAGACAATAATGATTATAACCTGAAAGGGGGAGTGTCATTTATTGGTACTTACCTGGGGTCATTTGGACGTTGTAGCCCTTGTTCTTTTGTAAACATGCACACATGAAGAATTCAGCTTTCGCCTTGTATCGCATTAACACTGATTTATGAGCGTCACCTTTGCCCTCGAGCAACACCTACGAAAAGAAAAATAAAAGAAAAATCGAAGAACCAACTAAATCATGAAAAATTGCATACCAAGGGATGTAATGGAATAACCTAGATAGTCCATAACAAATTTTAACACAAAATTGGTCCCAATTTAATTTAGACAAGAATTTTGTGCTGCTCCAAGGGATACCACAGTTCATAGCAAAGTGTACACTATACATTTACCCCCAAGTACAAGAATTATACGGGAGTATTTTTATAATCTGAAATTTGGAGATTCCTTCTAGAATCATCAAATGAGTATTTTCAAAACAAAACAAAAAAAAATTGTTGAATTTATATTCACTTAGTTGGCCAAGCAAAACTGGACAGTCTTTGTTCAATCTTAAGGCGTTATTTTCTTATAGACATGCAGAATATACAAATTTTATTTTTATTTTTATTTTTATTTTTATTTTTATTTTTTATTTTTAATTTTTTATTTTTTATTTTTTTGAGGTTGGTAACTAGCTTGAGGAGGTTGGATTTTTACCGGGGAGTATATAATCTTTTGACATCTTTTTATCAATGTGAAGGAGCTTGTCAGGCAAATAATGAGTAGGATGTAGGATTACTACCCTAAGCATATTTAAACTTACATTTGAACTTTGCATTTGCATTATTGTACTATATCATTATCTTTTTCTTTTCTTTCCTTCCATTAATTTACATTTCAAGTCGACAATAGCTTACTTCAATTTTAGCCAACCCCAATTAGTTGGGAAATAGCTTACTTCAATTTTAGCCAACCCCAATTAGTTGGGAAAAAGTTATTGATGATGATGATAAATAGCTTACTTTCGTTTCGATTTTCAACTCATAAAATATTAACAAATTGTCCTTACGACTCGTGCCGTCTAATTAAGAGTCCAATTTGGAGTATTTTTCAGGTGAACCCATCCTTGGCCAAAAAACTCCATACTCATAATAAAGTTTTGGCCATTTTTCCTTCTTCTTTTAAGAAAAAAAATCAATCTTAAAATATCATAATCATAGCAAATTTTTGGTCAATTTTTTACTTCTTTTATGAAAACATTAATGACAAAATATTCTTAAATATGAATTTCTTTCATTACCTTAGCTAAGAGGACTTGGAGGCCTGCATATTTGTTGTTCCAAGAGAATTCTTTCACAGCCACCCCAGTACCACCCATAGAAGCTGCATTCTTTACAGCATAATCAAGATACTGCACATCTCCTGTTGCTCGAAAAAGCCATGCTGAAGCCCATAATAGTTCATCCTGCAATGAATAAAAACATTATAAATAAATATTATTATAAGCAAATTAATATGAAAAACAAATTTTAGAAAAATAGGCACACTTTCGACCAGTTCCCATGCACATAAAATTATATATATATATATATATATATATATGGACATTAATTATAGATATTATCGCCGACTCACTGACAGTCATCCAGTTAATAGTTGACAGTTGCCGGTCCCTAGACACATATATCATACATGTATGGGACCCTTAGAAAGCAAAGAGTGGCTAACATTCTTTTGCCAAATTTTCTGAAGTCAAAGTAAATGGGCCTTTAAGTAATGAAAAGGGGGGGAAAAGAAAAAAAAAAAGTAGTAAAATGAACTTAATCACATATATAACCTTAATTTCCTACTAGTTGTTCATCCAATAAACAAGGTGTTCAGATTTCACTTGTTGATTTCTCACCATGTATCCATTTTTGCAGGGGTAATATGGTCCAGCAATTTTGATCGACTGGTCGTAGGGCCCTCGAAAATGATCACCGAATGAGAAGAGCTTCAAGAAAAGAAAACCAAATCAATAAAAAAAGCAGAAAATCAACAATTAAATTTACTTTAAATACGCATCATCGTTAAAGTCTTTTCCCAACTAATAGGAGTCTGCTAGATAAGTAAAATTAAAGAAAAAAAATGTCACAATAATATGGACCCAAGTCCCTTGACCTGTAAGAACTCATGGGATTGTATCCATGTTGCCTAATGCATGAAGCACCTAGTATTTCACCAAGGGAAGTTCAATTCTTATCACTGAAATGGTTCAAAAGGTGGCAAGAGCAAGAGGTCCTTTTGCTCACTAGGGGCAAATTTCAGGTCCTCCCCATATTTTGAGACGTCACCTTCTCAACCTAGGGACCAACTTAAAAGCAAAAAACTTGAATATATATTGGACAATAAACATTTCATTGAACTCCGCTATGGCCGGTCCCAAACCAGTTGTTGACAGTTATAGAAAATTCAATATAAAAAACTTAATATTTTGTAATATCTTGTAATATATTAGTTTTTATAAAAGTTAACACCAATAAAAAAGAAAAAACCTTGCGTTTTACAAACGACGGCAGTTTTTCCATTGGTGTTGCCCTTTTCTCTCTCTCTCTTGTTACCTGTTTGGCATGGAGCAGGAGGAGGTTAGAGTAAGAGGAGTTGTAAGGCTTAAAGGCTATAGAAGCAGCCGCCATGGCCGCCGCAGTCTCGCCTGCTAGGTCTGAACCCGGATGCTCAGTGTCGATTCGGTACGAAGCCCTTGGCGTACTCATGTCCTCAGCTCTCTCCCAACAATAGTGATCAGAATCCCCATCACCTACCTGAAAATTACACCCATTATATTGGATTCCAACAGTAACTAACTTGAAGTCAATTGAATGATAAACAAGGAAAGTGTATATCACACATATCTTGTTCACGATACATCATACATGGTCATGGCATCTACCATCCATTCGCCAGATGAACGGTGCACATGAACCATAGTTACGTGTCAATGTCAGACATATAATCCATTGTTCATCTCCATTATCCACCATTGAGAAAATATTGGCCATTGTTTGTTAGCGATGTATAAGATGTGTATCATATACTTTTTTTATGGTCTATATGATCATTATAATAATATGGTAATAAGAATCAACACCTCAGCAGCAATAGGTTGATTGTGATGACAAGAGAGGGAGTCCCACCAAACATGTCACTAATTCAATTGTACAGTCCAGTCTCCCGCCATCACCATCAACCCATTGATCAAACGATGATAATCCTCCTGACCACTTTGTTAACATGATCAAATGAATCACAGTACTTTCCCCTCAAAGGAAAGAAAGAGTACAAATGGATTGAAAGAAACCTGGGCCCAAAAGACATTGGGCTCAGGATGAGCCTTGATGAAGTAGTCAGTGCCCCATTTGATCGCTTCTAGGGTATGGCCGAGCTGGTTCACCGAGGCGAGCTCCTTCGCATACTCCGCAGCTCCCCATGCCATCATGGTCACTGTGAAAGCCATCGGCATCCCAAACTTCACATGGTCCCCTGAATCGTAGTATCCTCCAACCAAATCTACCTGTATATTTGCATTATCATGGAGAGTAAGCTAGAAAGTTAACATGTACACTAACTGATTGTGAGGAAACAAATGCATTGGTTTGACCAGTGTTAAAAACATCAGACTCGGGATCCAACTCGGCAAGGACTGAGCTTGAGTCCCCCAATCCGACTCAGACAATGGGGCAAATCTTTAATGTGAAAAAATTAAAACGTACGAAAAAATCAGGAGACTTGGTAATTTCAAGGTTTTTCAGCCCAGGATCATACAGCTCCTGATCCAAGTCTACTCAGGCGAGTCCCCGAGTCGGCCTCACAATTTTTTTGGTGACAACATACATAAACATGTCAGCTAAGGTTTGCCCGTCATGGTACCAAGGCCTGTGCCACAAAATATGGTTCGAGGACCGAACTGGGTTGGGCTACCAAGGCCTAAGTGTTAGACCTGGGCCAGTCCTATAGGGCACAAACTCAGCTCGGGCCTGGCCCGATCAGTTGCCGGTCCAATTCTTTTTTTGTTTTTAAATATGAATTCTTTTATGTTTGCTCACCGTCATCTAACTAATTTCGGTGTTCTTCATCAGGGAAGTCTATTGCAAAAAAACATAAATACCAATTATTCTAAGGGTGGTTTAGAAATTTTAAGGAAAGGTAAGGGTAATAAATGCTTATAATAATATTAATAATAATGATAATGATAATGATCGATCATACTACAAATAATTAATTGCGCCAAAAAATCGCCCTCTAAATGAGGAATGACGGTAATACCAACTGATTGTTTGGAAAATTCATGATATGTCCCTCGAGTAATATGCTGAAAAATGCTTTTAAAGTGCAAACTTCTATAGCAAACAATCATTTCCGAATTTGGGACAGGGATTAGTTTGGTGGTGGTAGCACCCGACACTCTAGTCACCACGTGGTTTTCATTTTCATCACTATCACCCCACTTATATAACTTATAATTTACTTGATTTTGTCTTTTTCATTAGTTACCCAAAAAAAAAAAATCATTTCTGAAAAGGATGTGGTTTCTATAAGGTTGCAACCTTAAACAATCCAATTAAGATGCGCCTCGAAATTTTATCATAATATGTAATTTTGGTATAAAAAATTCTTAGAATTATCTAAAAATCTATTTTCATATCTAATTATAAAATTTTAAACTAAAAAAATGTTTAAAATCAAATAGATCTATAGACATATGAAAATACTTAAAAATAGAGACTATAGATAATTAGTTGTTGCTAAAGTAGCAATATTTTATTTAGACTCATAATATAGTCGTGGGAGGNAACGGCACACAGG